TGTGATTAGTCAGCATTTGCATTGTATAAGTAAAGCAGAGCTGTGACCTGTCAGCGGCAATGTGCTAGATTTTGTTTCCCTGCAAAGAGAATAAAATGTAGCACATTACCTAGTGAAAACACCACATAGTAAACACAATATCACTGTTTAGGCACACAGTTAACCCTTTGATTGCCCTAGACTGGTTTCCACAAAGTGTCAGTGTCAGATTATCTGCCGCAATATTACAGTCCCACGATAAATCATTGATCACCACCATTACTAGTAGAACATAAATAAATAAAAATTCCAATATATATATACCATATTTGTAAATGCTATAACTTTTGCGCAAAATAATCAATATACGCTTATTGGGATTTTTGTTTACCAAAAATATGTAGCAGAATATATATTGGTCTAAATTTATGAAGAAATTTAGATTTTTAAAAATTTTTATTGGATATGTTTTTATAGCAAAAAGTAAAAAATTGTCAGTCTTTTTTTGTTTATTAAAATAAAAAACCCAGTGATGATCAAATACCACCAAAAGAAAGCTCTATTTGTGGAAAAAATGACATAAATTTCACTTATGTACAGCATTGCAGTTGTCGGTCACATTAACGAAGTGACGTATATAAAAAAAATAGCCTGGTCCTGAAGGGGGGGGGGGGGGGGGGGGGGGGGGGAGATAATCTTCTGGAGATAAAGTGGTTAAATAAATATAGAAACATAGAAGAGTGATGGCAGAAAAAAGACCAAGTGGCACATCGAGTCTGCCCATTTTTTTTTTTTTTTGTAAACTTTTTTTGTCTGAGTATAGATCATTGTTTGTGGCAAGCATGTATGAATCCATTGTTGACTGACTCACTACCTCTGCTGGAAGTCTATTCCAAGTAACCCCTTTGGTAAAATAATACTTTGTAAGATTAGTTTTGAACTTTTCTTCTGCTAGTTTGAGGTCATGTCCCTGTGTTCTTGATCCTAGCTTCATATTGAAATTACAAATCCTGAACCTTATCCACACCCTTGGTGTATTTAAAGGTTTCATTATGCTTCCCTTTCCCTTCCTTCCTCCCTCCTGTACATATTAAGTCCCTGCAGTCTCTTCTGATATGTTTTTATCCCTTAAACCTTTTTACCATTTTTTTTTGTTGCCTGTCTCTGGACTTGTTCTGTCTTAAGTGAGGTTCCCAGAACTGGACACAGTATTCTAAATGAGGTCTAACTAAAGATCTCTATAGGGGTATCAAGACCTGCTTCCTTCTGTTAGGGACCCCTTTAGTCATGCATCCTAGAATTCTATTCACTTATGGAACTACCTGGCCATATTGGCTGCTTGTTTTGCCATCATCTGCAGCAAGTACCTGCAAATATTTTTCTTCTATACTGTAGTGCTGGTCAACGCTGTACCCCAGTATTGTACTTTTTTCCCCTGGTGCATTATTATACATTTATAAACCTTGATCTGCACTTTCCACTGCTTTGGCCAATCTTCCAGAAATGCAAAATTATGGTCCAAGTTACAGACACCTCCAGGTATATCAACCCTATTGCACGCATTTGTGTCATCAGCAAAAAGACATACCTTACCCACCAAACCATTAGTTATATTGCTAACAAATATACTCATGGCCAAAAATATTGGTATTCCTGCATTTCTGTCAGATAATGTACCACTTCGCCCAGAAAATTGTTGCAATTACAACCGTTTAGGCATTCTCATGTTTATCTTTTTGTTTGTATTGATATGACCTAAAAAATAGAGAAACAAAAAGCCAAATCTGACGCATTCTACGCAAAACCCCAAAAAATGGACTGGACAAAATTATTACCCACTTCTCAAAATTATTAATTATATTATATAAATGAATATAGATAATTGCATTCCGAGTTTGATGCTCCTGTAATTTGTAATTACACTCACCTGTATCAATTACCAGGTACTGACAATATCAAAATCACACTGGCAATCAATTAAAATGGTGAAATATTGACTCAACCTTTCTGTTGTGTATCTCTGTGTGCCACATGGAGCATGGAAAAGAGAAAGAACAGCAAATAATTGTATGAGGATTTGAGAACAAAAATTGTGGAAAAGCATGGACAATCTCAAGGTTATAAGTCCATCATCAGAGATCTTAATGTTCCACTGTGCCTAACATTGTCAAGAAGTTTACAACCCATGGCACTGTAGGTAATCTCCCTGGACGTGGATGAAAGAGAAGAATTGATCAAATAGTGCAACGAAGGATTGTTCGAACGGTGGATAAAAAACCTTGAACAAATTCCAGACAAATTCAAGCTAATATTCAGGCACAGGGTACAACTGTGTCAGCTTGCACTATAGGTTGCCATCTGAATGAAAAGGGACACTATGATAGACTCAGGAGGACCCCACTACTGACAAAGAAACCTAAAAATACCTGATTGGAGTTTGCCAAAACTTACTCGAAGTCAAAATCCTTTTGGGACATGATGGAGGTGCATTGATCTTTTGGGATTGCTTTGCTGCTTCAGGCACTGGATGTCTTGAACGTGTGCATGGCATTATGAAATCTGAACACTAACAAAGAATTCTGGGGTGCAATGTAGGGCCCAATGTCAGAAAGTTGGGTCTCCATCAGAGGTCAAGGGTTATACAGCAGGACAATGATCCAAAGCACATGTCAAAAAGCACCCAGAAATTGCTTAAGACAAAGCTCTGGAGAGTACTGAACTGGCCAGCAATGAGTCCAGATCTCAATCCCATAGAGCACCTGTGGAGAGATCTCAAAACGGCAGTTGGGAAAAGGAACACTTTCAATGTGAGACCTGGAGCAGTTGGCGAAAGAAGAGTGGTCCAAAAGTCCAGTAGAGAGGTGTAGGAAACTAATTGATGGTTACAGGAAGCGATTGATTCCAGTTATTTTTTTCCAAAGGGTGTGCTACCAAATATTAAATTGAGGGTGCCAATAATATTGTCCAGTCCATTTTTGAAGTATTGCATGGAATGTGTCAGATTTGGCTTTTTGTTTCTCCACTTTTTTGTGCTATAGCAATACAAACAAAATAAATAAACATGAGAATGCCTAAACATTTGTAACTGCAAACATTTTCTGGGCAAAGTGGTGCATTATTTGACAGAAATGCAGGGGTGCCAATATTTTTGGTATGACTGTAGATTAAATAGAACAGGACCTGGTACCGAGCCTTATGGTACACAACTAGTGACTAGTCACTGTTTACAACCTCATTTACAAGCACACTCTGGTATCTATCCTGTAGCCAACTGCATATCAACTGAATGACCAAAGGATTAAGTCCTACTTTTACAAATTCTTTGTGTTCATTATGTTGAAGTGTATCCAGTACATTGCTGATGTCAAGATAGGCCACAGCAGCATGCTGGTCCAAAACATTAGTGAAATAGTAAAAAAAAAATTAAATCAGATTAGTCTTACACAATTTGCTGGACCCAAAGCTGCATGGCTTTACTGAGGGAAGATCATGTGTTTCTAAGTGATCAGTATTCCTTCATTATAGGATCGGGTCCATTAACTTGACTTCAGCATACAGTATGTTAAACTCACTGTGCTGTAATTGCCAGCTTCTACATTGCTAATCTTCTTGTGGATTAGCTGTCCGCCAGTCATGGGGAGCTTTTCCTGTTAAAAGAGATTGATAAAAAAGATCAGTGAATGATTCAGCAACTATACCTTTAGGTTCTCTTAGAACTCTGGAATGAACATCATCACAACCCATTGCTTTATTAAGCTTTAACCAAGCCAGTTCCTCTGCTACCTCTGTCTCTACAAATCTGAAAATGAGACTTCATTACTAAAACCAATATGATCCCCCAACATGTTGTTTCTGGTGCAATTTATTTCAGAGAAGACTGAACAGAAGTAATTGCTTAAATGGTTTGTGATATCCCTCAATAGAAGTGTTTGTACCCAGCTTTGATTTTAATGATCACATTGTATAGTGATCCACAATCATCTAAGAATCTGTTGATTCTTGCTGCAGGAATCTGTTGTCTGGATCTTATAAGATGTGTGAACGAGAGTCCTTTAGGCACGTTGCAAAAATGTAACTACTTCCCCTCCAAAGGATTTACCCCCCTTCCTGACCAGGCCATTTTTGCGTTACGGCGCTATGTTCCTTTAACTGATAATTGCGCTGTCATGCACACTGCACCCAAATGATCATTACGTCCTTTTTTTCGCCACGGATAGAGCTTTCTTTCAGTGGTATTTGATTGCCTGTGCGTTTATTTTTTGCACTATAAAAGAAAAGACCGACAATTTTGAGAAACAACAATATTTTCGACATTTTGCTATTAAACATGTCCAGTAAAAAAATCAAATTTCAGCCTAAATTTAGGCCAAAATGTATTCTGCGACATGTCTTTGTTTAAAAAAAAAAAAAAAAAAAAAATCCCAATACGTGTAAATTAATTGATTTATGTGAAAGTTATAGTGTTTACAAATGGAGGTATATGCTAGGATTTTTTTTTTTTTTTTTTTTTTTTACTAGTAATGGTGGCGATCAGCAACTTATAGCTGGACTGCAGCGGGCGTTCTGACACTGGAGGGAGCTGACTTGGTGTCACTGACATCCCCAGTGACACCAATACAGTGATCAGTGCTAATAAAAAGCACTGACACTGTACTAATGGCACTGGGCATGCAGGGGGTTAACATCTGGGGCGCTCAAAGGCTTAACTGTGTGCTGTGTTATGCAGGCCATACATGGTTCGAATTGCGAACAATTTTTCATCCGAAAATTGAAAACTTCTTTCGCTCGGTAATCCGATGGTGCCATCAATGATTTTGGAAATCTGCCGACTAAGTCATAAAGTTCACCCCATATAACAGGCAAAACTTCTGTTTTTTTTTTTTTTCTAGGTCACGGCTCATGCGCATATTCTTTTCGGAAAAAGATTGTACGATTTGACCATCATTGAGTCGAAAATCGGTCTTTTTTTTTTTTCCGCTAAATTTGCAGACGAAAGATCGGTTTAGGTTCGACCCATGTATGGCTGGTCTTAATGCTTCACTGTAAGCACACTGCTTTGCATAGCTCTGTTATGCAGAGCCATGCCTAGCAGTGTGCAGGAGCTGACAGGGGAGAGACCTGTTTTGTTTACTTACAGTTCTCTCCCTGCGTTTGGTAATCCTGCTCGATCACCAGGTGGCGACGAGTAATCACCGGCCGGGACCCGGTGATTGACAGCCAAGGCCACAAATGGGCCTGTGTGTGTGGACTCGCGTGTGCCCCCTACCTGGATATGCAAAATCACGCATATATACATGATTTTGCGCACCCCTGCCGCCCTGTAGCAGTATATCTGCTATAGGGTGGCGGGAAAGCAGTTAAATTATCAAGTGAGGTTTGTAGATGCCTATAACCAAAATATAGCTGATCTATGATGTGTACTAAATCCTTTTGGAGGTCTGTAGTCCTTTTTTTTTTTTTTTTTTTTTTTTTTTTCTTGGGTTCCTACCCAGTAACAAAGAATGCAGTTTGCGTGCGTGCACACTACATTGCAGTGCAAAATGAATAGGAATGTACCTCAACTCAAGGTATTTTAATTGAATGCACATTTGTGCATTGCAGGAAGGACAGCTGCATTGAGGAGGTGTGTTGAGGTGCCATTTAAAATTAAAATGGCAAAATGAATGGCACTGCCCCACACCAATGAATGTAGGGTGCATTACTGCAACGTGATGGTGTGAACATGACCTATGTTTTGTTTTTGCTGGAAGCATTATTTAATAAAACTTTGTTGTCCAGGGAGACCGTATATTATAAGAAATGTACTATACATGCTATCCCTAACAACCTGTGCCGGGAAGAACCACACAGATTCCTGTGGTAGGCCAGAACAGGCTTCTATCAGGTGTACTACTTGATGACTATGCAAGATATGCTCAGCTTCTGTTTGCTAGATTTCTGTCATTATGCTTCTTCCTCAGAGATTTTGCAATATCTCCAAATTCAAAGCTATATGCATTCCAATTTGAATCACATGGACTCTTACCCCTTTCAAACATGTATGCCTTTCTGATCCCTTCCCTAAGAATATAGTATTCTCCAATCTGTGGTTCTCTCCAGAAGGGTGACTCTCAGTGGCTAAATGGTTAGCACTTCCGCCTGGCAGTACTAGGGTCGTTGGTTTGAATCCCAGTCACAGCAGCCCCTGCCTGGAGTTTGCATGTTCTCCCTGTGCCTGTGTGGGTTTCCTCCAGGCACTCTGGTTTTCTCCAACACTCCAAAGACATGCTTGTAGGTTAATTGGCTCCTGTCTAAATTGGCCCTAGTATGTGTATGTATGAATGTGAGTTAGGGACCTTAGATTGTACACCCCTTGAGGGTTATGGACTGATGTGAATGTACAATATACAGGTGAAACTCGAAAAATTAGAATATCGTGCAAAAGTTCATTTATTTCAGTAATGCAACTTAAAAGGTGAAACTAATATATGAGATAGACTCATTACATGCAAAGCAAGATAGTTCAAGCCATGATTTGTCATAATTGTGATGATTATGGCTTACAGCTCATGAAAACCAACCTGGGCTAAAGAAAAACAGACCTGGTCTGTTGCTCAGTGGTCCAAAGTTTTCTCTTTTCTGATGAGCAACTTTTGCATCTCATTTGAAAACCAAGGACCCAGAGTATGGAGGAAGAATGGAGAGGCACACACTGCATGATGCTTGAAGTCCAGTGTGAAGTTTCCACAGTCTGTGTTGATTTGGGGAGCCATGTCATCTGCTGGTGTTGGTCCACTGTGCTTCATTAAGTCCAGGGTCAACGCAGCGTCTACCAGGAGATTTTGGAGCACTTCATGCTTCCTTCCGCAGACGAGCTTTATGGGGATGCCGACTTCATTTTCCAGCAGAACTTGGCACCTGCCCACACTGCCAAAAGCACCAAAACCTGGTTCAATGACCGTGGGATTACTGTGCTTGATTGGCCAGCAAACTCGCCTGGCCTGAACCCCATAGAGAATCTATGGGGCATTGCCAAGAGAAAGATGAGACATAAGACCAAATAATGCAGAAGAGCTGAAGGCCGCTATTGAAGCATCCTGGTCTTCCATAACAACACCACAGCAGTGCCACAGGCTGATGGCTTCCATGCCACTCCGCATTGAGACAGTAATTGCTGCAAAAGGGGCCCAAACCAAGTACTGAGTACATATGCATGCTTATACTTTTCAGAGGTCCGATATTGTTCTATGTCCAATCCTTGTTTTATTGATTGCATGTAGTAATCTAATTTTCTGAGATTGTGGATTTGGGGTTTTCATGAGCTGTAAGCCATAATCATCACAATTATGACAAATCACAGCTTGAACTATCTTGCATGTATTATTATTATTATTATTATTATTATTATACAGTATTTATATAGCGCCAAAAGGTTTGCTCAGCGCTGTACATTATAGTGGGGGACAGTACATGAGACAATATAGTAACAATACAATACACAAGGGGTTCGAGGGCCCTGCTCCTTGGAGCTTACAATCTAGGAATGTAATGAGTCTCATATATTAGTTTCACCTTTTAAATTGCATTACTGAAATAAATGAACTTTTGCACGATATGCTAATTTTTCGAGTTTCACCTGTATATATATAAAGCGCTGCCAGAATTGACGGCGCTATATTAGTACCTGAAATAAATAAATAAAGCTAGAGAGTTCAAAATCTGGTGAAGCTGTGCACTAGAGCCAATCAGAATGTAATTTCAGCTTGTTCAATTAAGTTTTGATAGTAAAACCTGGAAGCTGATTTCTGCATGAAGAGTGCACCAGATTTTGGACTCTTCAGTTTTCTTAGATCAACCCCTGTATGGTCTCCTGACCTTTGTTTTCAGTGTTGTGGAGCAGCTGGCACTGTAAGGCTCCATGCACATGGGGTGTTTTTATAACGCTGGTAATGTTAGCTGTATAAAGTCACGTTAAAAATGTTTTTTTTGCGGTTTTCAGCTTTTTTTTTTAGTGTTTTTGCTTTAGCGTTTAGTGGCATCTTGCTGCGTTTTTGCATATTTTAGCGGGGTTTTTTTTTTTTACAAAAAAAAAGTTCTTTTTTTTGGTCAAAAAAAAGTCCAGAAACGACGGTTTGCAGCGTTTTAACACGTTTTTTCAGCGTTAGATCGTTTTTACAGCTAAACAGAAACCGAAGAAAAACGTCCCTGCCAAAAAACATTGATTACAGTCTGTATGCATGGACACATAGGATAGCATGCTGGGGTTTTACTGGCTGCAGAAAAAAAACTTCAAAATCCAAAAACAGCAGCTGTAAAAATGTCCAGTGTGCATGAGGACTAATAATAAACATTTCATGGGACTGCCCTAAAATCAAATGCTGTTTATGAATATTTTCAATAAAAAAATATACTGTACATACAGTAGACATCGTGCAGACAACAATTCAGACCTGTGACCCAGTGCAGTTAAATCTTACTGATCACTTACAACCTGTAGCTGAAAAAACAAGCAAGAATAAAAGGTAGGACAACTGAGTTTATGTTCTCTTGTCAAACGTCAGGGCTCATTTTCTTTGCAAAATAGTACTGAGGTATCATGTTCTGCACATAGTGTCTCTCTTATGTAATTTAATCTAATATTTTTAGAATGACACAACCAGTCTGAAAAGGTTACACCCACCAACTTTTGGCTCTGCTCTTGGGCTTTTCATCACCATTAATCATGCACATTTTAGTCGCTGGGTTGCCATTTTTTCAGTTTTCTAGGAAAGAAATGCCTTTTCCTCTGTATAGGCAGCAGAACTTCCTAAACTTAAAGTGCAGCTATGGTCAAATTGTAAATCCATGTATTCATTTCCACACTGTATTCCTATTAATCTGAACGTTCTTGAAGTTTGTAAATTTACTTAAACTTACTTTGCGAAAATCCCATACATTTACTTCCTTGAATTCTGTGACGTATTCATTATGCCCTGTAGCCGCTGTTGTCACACATTTCACACATTTCACAGAGCCTGCCTTCTGAACTACAGAGGTGCTGAGAGGCGTTTCAAGAGGCGGAGTCAGTTCAGGAATCACTGCTTGCAGGCGGCAAAGTATTTTTTAACATAGTTGTTTGGGCAAGCAATACATTCAGTGTCTACAGATGAAGGTGTTTGAATATAAACAAAATAAAAATGTGCACTTTCAATAATTCAGCAAAAATATGAAGAGATGTAATGCTTTACTGTACTAAAAATAAGTACATCCTTGGCCTCAAAGCTGGTATTTCCTTTTTTTTTTTTGCATAGCATTTTCCAGAATTGCCCACCAGTTTCTGACATCAGCTTGGTGAAGAAATAACCACTCTTCTATGCAAGTATTTTTGAATTGCAAGATGTTTGTGGGTTTCCTTGCAGGAACTACCCGTTTTTATCTCCCTCCTGCAACATTTAAATGAAGTTCAAATTAAGGGCATTGACTATGGCAAATCCATAACCCCCTCTATTTCTGACTCGTATACTTTGGATCATAATATTGAAAGATACAATTCCAGTGCAACTTCAGTTTTCAGACAGATGACCTCACATTTTGTCAAGTACACTTTCATATTCTTTATTTCAGGTACTTATATAGCGCCGTCAATTTACGCAGCGCTTTACATATATATTGTACATTCACATCAGTCCCTAACCCTCAAGGGGTGTACAATCTAAGGTCCCTAACTCACATTCATACATAAACAAACATACTAGGGTCAATTTAGAAAGGATCCAATTAACCTACCAGCATGTCTTTGGAGTGTGGGAGGAAACCGGAGTACCTGGAGGAAACCCACGCAGGCACAGAGAGAACATGCAAACTCCAGGCAGGTGGTGCCATGGCTGGGATTTGAACCAACGACCCTAGTACTGCCAGGCAGAAGTGCTAAACACATATGATGCAGAATTCATAGTTGATTCATTGACTGCCAGCTGCCCAGACCCTGGCCCTTTTCCACCAGTGTGCTTTACAGTTATGAGAAATGCTGTTTTTGTTTCCACCTAAAATGTCTTCCTTTCCTATATGTTCAGTAGCAAACTTTAGTGTTGCTCTGAGCTTCTTTTTGGACAGCAAAGGCTATTTCTTTGAGAATGAATACTCCAAGTCA